CGTTGTCTGGTGATGGAGGTCGGACGGACCGTAGTAGGCGACGGAGGTCGGGAGGACCGTAGTCGGCAGGAGACTGGGATTCGAAAGACCGTTGTCTGGTAATGAAGGTCGGAGAGACCATAGTAGGCAACGGAGGTTGGGAGGACCGTAGTCGGCAGAAGACCGGGGTCAGAAAGACTGTTGTCTGTTGATGGAGGTCGGAAGGACCATAGTAGGCGACGGAGGTCGGGAAGACTGTAGTCGGCAGGAGACCGGGGTCTGAATGTCGGGCCTTAAGCAGGACGTCGGGTCTTCAGCAGGACGTAGGGACTGAACGTCGGGCCTTAAGCAAGACGTCGGGTCTTCAGCAAGACGTAGGGACTGAACGTCGGGTTTTCAGCAGGACGTAGGGACTGAACGTCGGACCTTAAGGCAGTGGTGCAATGAAACTCCGACGAGGCTTCGGTGGTGGTCCGGCGAGGTTCCTGCGGTGGTCCGGCGGGACTTCTGCGGTGGTCCGGCGGCCGTCGAGGAGGACCTTCCTCCTTCTCTTCTCTTTTTCTCTCTCTTGCTTGGGTCCCCCTCTCATGAGAAATGAGGGCTCTATATATAGATTTTATGGAGTGACATGGCCCGTAAATAGACGTGAGTTCAAGGGCGAATAGGGAGTGGTCGAATGGACGGCCGATGTTGAATCCTACGATCGTGCACCGTTCGTTGGAAATTTGAAGGCCTTATTAATCTCGGAATTCTGTGATCTTGGGCTCGTTGGATTCGTCTCGTCGAGCCGTTCGATTCGAGTATAAGCTCATCAAAATCGGAGACCGTTTGATAACTCAAATTGTGGTTTAACCTTCCAACAGTGCTTCGGTCCATGATTTGGACCCATTTGGGCTCGGATTGGGTCGAACTTGGTGTCGTTGAGTTCGTATTTCCGATATGCTCAGTTTGACTATAAGTTCGCTGAAATCGGAGTTCACGTGCTCCCACATTTAATTTTTGAAGTTTTCGGTTTGAGATTTGTCTCGAGATTCGTGCCCGGCTAAGATAATTTTTTACGACGTATCACTATTTATTAAAATTTTAAATATTTTATAATTTAACTTCATATGATTATATCCTGCAATAATTTTTTTTTCTCTACGCTTAAAAAAAAATAATGGGAACTCCACTGGGAAATAGGAAAACAGCACTAGCCTTCCTTTTTGCCTGTTATTCTGAATTTGTAATTCTCATTATTTCGGCGTGAAAAGAAATTAAATAAAAAAACAGAGGAAAACAAAAAGGAGAGCAAAAAACATTTTGAAGCAGAGAAAGAGAAAGATGAGCTTTTCGCTTCCGTCTTCCCTGAACTTCTCGCCGCGATGAATGGCGAGATCCGCAGAAGCAGAGGGTTCCGAGACTGCGCGCAACGCTTATTCGCCTATCCTCCTCTCTGTCGTGGTTTTCGATCTCAGTTTCTCGTCTGATTTCTTGCGCTCAAAAATCAGATCTTGTGGGTTATGGAACAGAGGATTTGTCGAGCGGCGCTTGCTCTGGCGCTGGTAGTCTGCATGTTATTGATTTCCACTGCCGCTGCAACAGAAGAATCTCGCCGTCCTTCTGCCGGCGATTTGATCCTTGGCTCGTCGGACCTGTGCTTCCCTATGGATTCTCCGGTGGCAGGAACGGTATTTCAGGGTGTATTGGAGGTTGGTGCCTAAATCAGCTGCTTTTTACTTAGTTTAATCATTTGAATGCCTTGAGAGCTGTTTGCCCTTTTTTTTCTTTGATAAGCTAGTAGCAGGGAATAGAAAGAAACTGCCTTATTTCTTATTTGTATTCAGTTTACTTTTAAAAAAAAATTAGAAAATTGGGGAGAGAGTTCTCTTCCATGCAATGTTTTTGGATCAGACGGAAGCATATATTGAACGGCAGAAAGCATTTTCATTTTAAAATTAACTGTGCTCTTTTTTAAAAAAAATGGCAATATTTTTCTTAGTTTGTATTCAGACCATCTTAGTTTTCTAGTTTTTTTTGCAAAAAAGAGCACTACACTACTTTTCTCACTCATGAAAAAGTTTGAAGAGAACAAAAGCGAAAGAGCATGGAACCATTACTGGCCATGGACCTCAATGAGAAGTTCATTAACATTTAGTGAGGTTTGAACTGATTGAGCTTCAATACCCACCGAGGCTTAGGGTGGTTGGTGGGCGAGCAAGGTTGGGAACCCCCATCCCGGGTTTGAATCCCCACTTACTGCGGCCTAGTCTCTTCAGTCGGGGCAAAGCAAGTGTGGGCCCGATGCCGGTGGGTGGCCTCGCTAGGTTCCGCCGATGGATTAGTTATGCCGCCAAGCGCTCTCTTTGAAGTGACAGCAGGTAGATACCCCATTCCGAATATATATATATATATATATATATATATATATATATATATAGAGAGAGAGAGAGAGAGAGAGAGAGAGAGAGATTCAATTGATCTTTGAAACTGTGTAAATAATAAGTTTGACTTTATAAGGATTAACAAAATACTTGAAAGAGTTTATAAATTTGTGTAAACACGCATACGAATTAGTCTAAGGTTTTGGATGAAAGCAAATCAACTTAAGAAAACACTCGGACAGATTCTTCACATTTATGTTCAAAAGTATATAACGAAATTCCTATCAGTGTTTGACAAAGTCACCATCAAAGTAGCTATAATAAAGTTGCTAACTGAATTATAAACCAGCTAGTTTCAAAAGTATATAATAGAAGTCCAATAAATGTTAGACAAAATCATTAACAAAGTAGCTATAATTAAGTTTCTAAATCAATCATAAACAAGCTTGTGATCAATTCTAAGACTCTAAACAGGATTTCAGTTGAATTTCTTGTTAATGTGGATTCGTGTTGTAATTTTGGAAAAATTATTCTGTGCGGAGGCTAGACCCAGCTCTACGTTCGAAGGCGAATCAGGTGCAATCATGTCAGCGGTACCACGCAGTACCGAGCCGTGGTATAGCAAAGGGGTGACGTGGCACATTCTAGTTTGTCTCCAAACAGCGTTCGGCGTCCATACAAAATAATTAATCGTAATAATTAATTTTGACTGTATTGTCGAAACATTAGTCAATGTGCTTATGGCATGTAAAGCTTTGTAAATTTGGAGATTTTTTTCCCTCTCTTCATTTAGTATGATCTATTTTGCATTTTTGCTCTCTTAGGCTTTGTAAGTACCTTTGCTATATAGCTTCAGTAAGTTATTACTTCCTATCCTTATCGGTACTTTAACTACCATCCTTTGCCATTTTTCTAAACTGGCAGGGAGATGAGATTTCATTGCAGAGAGCTGTAAGTATAGTACACAGAAATAGAGAACAGTACGTGGCTGTGCTCTTCTATGCTTCTTGGTGCCCTTTCTCGAAGTTATGCCTACCAAACTTCAATAATATGCCTTCCCTGTTTCCAACCATTCCACATTTTGCTTTTGAAGAATCAGTTATCAAGCCTAGGTAGATTAAAGCGAATCTAAATGTGCAGTTTTTTTTTTCTTTTCTTTTAATTTGTGCACAAGTTATTTCACACTTTCTTCTGCAACTGAAATTGCAGTGTTCTTTCAAGATATGGTGTTCATGGCTTTCCCACACTCTTTCTCTTGAATTCTTCTATAAGAGTTCGATATCAAGGACCACGAAGCATTAGCTACCTCACTGCTTTCTACTCAGATGTTACTGGTAAGAAATATATACTTATAGTACACATGAAGTGCTTATTGCATGTAATTATACGATGCTCCTTGCAATTTATCATACCAGAAATATGTTTATATTAGCACTACCAAGTACCGACACTTCACTTTCCAAAATTGAATAAATGTGAACGTCATGCAATTTAGGGGTGTCAATTTCGGGTCACGGGTCGGGTTTGGGTCGAATCTAAACTGATCCGACACTATTCAAGTCAACCCGAACCCGACCCGCTTCGGGTCCGGGTCAACCTGACACAACCCGAATGACCCGGGACCATAAAAAAATTGTTAGTTTTCAGATCAAAAAACGGGTAAATCTCTGCTTTTCAAGTCAAAATGAATCAATCTTGGGTTAACGGGTCAAAAGTCAAACCGAATCCGACCCGATTTTTGAAACGGGCAAAATTATTGAACCTAAACCCGACCCGTTTTGGGTCTGGGTTGACCCTAACCCAGAATTTTCGGGCCGAATTCGAGTTGGGTTTTCGGATCGTGTCAAATATTGACACCCTATCATGCATGTATCAAATGTCATATAAAATTCATTATTGTATTTTGATATAGTAGCCCTGCATCTTTCCCAATAATTTTCTCCCCTAAATATTTTGCAAATTTAAACTATGCTAGGTGTTAAGCCTGCACCAGTGGATCCAACTATACTCAACAAATCAGTAAGCTTTGCAAACTTGGCTGAAGACATTGGAGGGACTAAGCAGGAAAATTGTCCATTTTCTTGGGCAAGGTCACCTGAGAATTTGCTCCAGCAAGATACATACCTGGCATTGGCGAGCTCTTTTGTGCTCCTGAGGCTACTTTACTTCTTCCTTCCAAAGCTGAGTGCCCATGCAAAGAGAGCATGGGGGTGGCGCATTCAGCTTCCAAGCTTGATAAGCTTGTGCGACTTTTCACAGGCTTTTCTCCAGCAGGCGTTGTAAGGGTTCAATAGGCTAAATCCTGGCAAGAAAACAAAGTTACATGAAGGAGCAATGAATGCAAAGCCATGGGCATCAAAATCTGTAGCGTTCAGTATCAATTGGTGATGTAAACTCTGGAAAAACTCTATCCCTTCAGTAACAGAAGATCAAAGAATTTTTAGTGACCAGAATGCATGGATATTAGTTTATTATTCTATGGAACATGAAGAGAGAATTTATCTTTGTTTTGAAATACACGTATGGGTTTTCATAATTCTTGATGTGGCACTTCGACGCAATATCAGCTCTGAAACGCTGCTGTAATGCATTTTCTGGGCATGTGAAGTAACTCGTATCATTCGAATTGTGTCGGGTTGACCCAAACTCAAAATTTATTGTGTTTGGATCCAGAAAATTAACTTGTTTGCAAAAATGGGTTGGATTCAAGTTGACCCGAATAGTGCCGGGTTAATTTTGAGTTCGATCCAAACACGACCCATGATCCAAAATTGACACCCCTTTTAAGACATTTTAATTGATAGTCAAATTTTTTAACTAACACATCAAAATGAGTTACATGTGATTTAATTACGATTTTAAGATGTTTAAAAACTCCAATAGGTTTTTTGTCTCTGCCTTTTTTTTTTAATGATAGTGTATAATTTATAAAATGCGACTCAAATAATAATTTAAAAAATAATAATCATCTCCAATTACTGGACCATAAATTTTCTCTGCCAGTTTTTCTATACCAATTCATTGTGGCTTTAAGTAAAGTACCACAATTCTTTCATATTTTAATAGTTTTGTAGGCTGCAAAATGATTTATGCGCTCAAAGGCTCAAACATCACGTTGCTCGATGATTCAGCAATCAATCTAAAGATGGCAGGAAACATGGCTGCAACTCCACACATTCATATGATCATTAAAAAAAAAAAGTTCTAGACCCTAAGTTGTTATCGAGGAAACACTCCCCGTATGTAAAGCAGAAATTGTAAGGCTCCAAAATTAAATTTGGAAGAATTATTTGTTTTATCTTTCTAATTAATCAATCAGAACTTCTAAATAATAAATATGTATATCTAATAAAAGCAACTAATAATTACATACATCAAATTATTACACTATATTCATTCTTCCAAAATTAATATACGATAGTCAGGAAACCACTCTATCTCTAATCTATTACAAACAGCTAGCTACAAAAATAAAAAATAAAAATAACAAAATCTAAAAAAAAATCTGAGGATCTCTGTCAACCTCACTTCAACTGGTCCTGACCCATTTCCCAACCTGAAATTATTAAAAATCTACAAGAGCTCAAAAGCCCAGCAGTAATCAAAAAATCACTAAAGTTTTCAATGCATGAACTAAAGAATCAATATGATATGTTCAGTCTAATATAATCAATAATTTGTATAAAATTCAATAAATATGCAAAACAACGGTGCAAAAATTATTCATAAATCAATAAATGAATCTATCTTATCTATTCATATGTATTATCAATGCATCCAATATTATCAATTATATTAATGTATATGTCAATGTCATCAGTGCTATAATATATGCACAAATAAAATTAACAGATGAAAAAGTACCGAACAATCTTCTCTCTCTCCCTCTCTTCTTGCACGGAACTGAAATTTAAATTTTTCATTAAAAAATCATATTATTACAGAAAGTGGGTTCAACACAAGTTAATTGGAAGCTTGATGGTGAAAGTAGGTACAAAATTCTTACATTGGCATACATCAAGTTTTAGTCAGCTTCAACGGCAGTAGCATCTTTGCTCACAATCTGCTAGCATAATTTTTCATTAGAGCAATCAATTATACATGAGAGGAGTTCAAATGCCAAAAACAATGCAGACTTCACCAAGTGCATAAATACAACAATAAAGGCATTGCAATTTAACTAATTCTGTAACTAGGAAATTAAAAAAAAAAAGAGAGGCACAAGAAGGGAGGCGGGGGGAACTTTCTTTATAGTACTTTAAACTTAACTATTTACAAAACTAACACCCAACTACCTCCATTTGCAATAACACCACCAAAATCTTTCAAAAAATAAAAAATTACAACCAATATTTTTCACATTTATTAAATTCTTGATGAGTAGCTTGTGCGCACCCAAATACACGATTTTCATAGTTCATTATCTTGAGTGAGTAAGTTTCGTAAGTAATCAAGTTAGGCTGTGCGCACCCAAATCAATTATGATTGCAGGTAAACTCTACAACCCTTAGATTTAAATTCTTTATTATGGTGCCTTATTACTCTTACGTTATAAATCTAGGGTGATAGCCTGTTATTTGACAAGCTTAAGATATAATTCATGAAGTCCAATTAGAGAGCACCACATCAAACCGAGGTCTAAACTAGCATAAGTCCACACCAACTTTTATATCTGACACATGAATGTGAGGGTGTGATCCACCTAAATAAACTATTTTTGCTAACCCTAGAATGTGATTTAGATAATAACAGCTTAAATTATATTCACTTGGTTGCACACTTCTGATTAAGGTCTTAAGCAAAATAAAAGAAGAGTTTTCCATTATAATCAATGCTACTGAAATTATAAACCAAGAAAAAATAGAAGAACGTAGAACCCAATTACAAGACATGAGGACCCAAATGTGAAACATGATGACTCAGAATACTCTTAGGCACAAACACATGGTCCTACTTTGCACAACATACTCATATAACAAAAAAATTACTTGGAAAATTACGCTCACCAAGATTATAAAAAGGTCACATTAGGAGGGCACACAAATTCATAGAAATGCAAACAAGATTGTAAATCACTATAGAAGCGCGGTAAGATTTTAATGATCTCTCTAAGAAATATGAAATAGAGGCACACTCCTTTAATGTCATCCATAAGGACCAATGGCCAATGTGGATGAGTTCTTTAAATAGCACCAAATAAAGATTACTATAAAACCACTTCAGCAAAAATGAAGTTATTGGATCTTGCAAAAGTTTATTGAAATAATATTTTAACAAAAAAAGAAAGACTAGGTAGAATTAACCTCACATGGATGGAAATGAAAATAGAAAATAGAAAATAGATGAGTATGTCCGAGTATTGTCCAAGCCACTATAAAAAAAAACTGTCATTAACTATAATTGATACAAAAATAACAATAATATCAAGCCTTCGTCCCACTACATGGAGTCGGCTATATTAATTATTTGTCTTCATTGTGTCTTGTTAAAAGTCAAATTCTCGTTTAAATCTAATAAAGAAATATCATTTATAATATTTTCTAACCAAGTCTTTTTAAGCCTACCTCTACCTTTCTTAATATAAGTCAAATCTAAACCTCTACTTTTCTAACCGGGTCATCGGAAGGCCGCCGTTAACTATTATTGATGAGACAAGTAAATCATCAGGTTCTTAAAGACCTGAATAGTTTTCTAACCCAAATATATGACCTATTGTGCCTATAATGATCGACAACCTACCAACAAATTTAACATATATCTTAAAGTAGAGATTATAAAATAAGGTAGATGAATTACAGACTCTTTAATACACATTTCACTGTGCACTGCTCATAGAGAAAGAAAAAAGTAAACTCGTAGTTCAAGACCTAGAGACCCTATTATCCATGCCTCAACACCTAGGTCTGTTGATAGGCATTTGCATTCTCTGTGACTATATCTATCAAAATTTTCACTTTTAGGAACTCCACTATTATATCTTGTATAAACATTAAGAACAATGCATATTTTTAGCTTCATCATAGAAGTCACGTTCAAAATAACTACAAGGCATAATTCTTGCTTTTGGATGAATTGAGACACCTTCAGGTGATGATATAAAAAAAAATAAAAACGAAACGCCCCTATTTAATGATGAGCTAACTGTTACCCTTAAGCTATCGTTAGGTGTCTTACTATTTCTAAATCCGAGTGTAATAATGGGAGAACAAAGAGCATCTTCCAAATCCATACAACATGTAATGAAAAGAGGTGTAAACTAATCAAAGATGGTAATAGTGCAATGAATGTTACAAGTACACAAGAAATAATTAAAGAAAATTTAAAAATTGAACCAAAACCTATGTTAATTGGATAAACAACATTTTCCTGACTCTGACCACTAGATATCTAGTTTCCATCAAACTAGAAAGCTATGATAAACAGATGTGGTGTGATGTCATTCCAATTGACGTAGCACATCTTCTCCAAAGCAGACTATGGCTTTTTAACATATATATTTTTTCATTATAATAGAGATAATACATATGTCATTCAAGTACCCAGGTAAGACCATAAAATCCATTAGACAGCAAAACAAAAACAAAAAAACAAAAAATCCAATCTAACTCATATAAGACTAGCTCTAACCTTTAAACATGTCTCTAATCAAAAGAAGCCAACACCACTACATCTGATTGTAGCTGAGTCTCTTGCTAATCCAACTATTCTAAATATTTTACTCTGCGTGCATGGACCATAACTTAAGGTTATTAACCTATCTTAAATACCTCTTCTGACACATCTGTCTTAAGCATGCCATCACATTATGATGATTTTGATAATACGTCTTTGTCCCCTTTCTGAAGAGTCTATCTTTACTATGAAAAATGTTGTACCTTTACTACCTAATATGCACATACCTACTATGATTTCCAACATCCAGCCTACTTTACTATGATACAGCCCATCTAACACATTATGAGGCAAATACTCAGCAAAGCTTTTAAAACTGCCAATCATCTTATACGGCAGCAGAGGCCCCGGAGGGGCTGGACCGGCTGGTCCAGCAGGCCCCGAACTCAAAGGGGAAGGACCAGGAAGGATCCAAGGGGTAGATTTCGGTCCCCCTTGTGAGGCCCAAGAAAAAAAAATCTGTTTTGGAGGCAATTTGAGAGCTTATTTAAGGAGGGGTATAGGGTTTATTTTGGGGTATGCATAATTGGAGTTAGTTGTAGTTTATATAGTTTATTCCTTTGTGAGGACTTCCTAGCAAAAACTAGGTTGTTGGGAGAGCTGATCTACCTATTTAATTGTAGATCACTTGTATTTTGTTTCTCGTTGAACTATTAATCAAAAATCAGCCCTTATTCTTATTGTTTACTGCTATTTTTTTCCCCTGTTGTTTCTATTGTATTTCTATCTGATTTTACTCCACAGCGTATTATCATCATGATTCTCCTTTCGTAACTGAGGGTTATACGCTTGATTTTGATCTCTCAAATATTATAGGAGTTTGAAGGAGCTCTCTTCTCTCTTGGGCTCTAGGCTTGGTGATCAAACATTGGTTGACGGCTTGGAGGCTAAAAGCATATAATAATTCTTTTGTGTGAATTGTAGTTTATCTTTTTGTTAAATTGTACTTCAATTCTCAGTTGTATCTCTGAGAAAAGGGTCAAATTGATCCATTGATTCTTTATTAAAGGACCATTTTGGTCCCTCAAGTCTTTAAAAAAGAATCAAAATTTTCATTTTATATAATTGGACACTACTGTGATTTTTCATAAGAGTCAAAGGAACTATTTTGATCCTTTTTCTCTTATATCTCTATTGCTCTCCCACAAAGTTAGACATTTACTCAAGCTCACATCCACCTCTCGAAGTTCTTCTCAATTTCCCTTCAAACTCTTGGTTCTCCGACAACAATAACAAGCTTTTATCCCACTACATGAGGTCGGCTATATGAATCCTTTTTCGTCATTGTTTTACCACACAACAAATATTTAAGTACAACTCCATTTACACCACCCGCCATACATTTCTCCTTACATCAACAACCCTCGAATCACACGCCTACCTCTCAGCCTTACCCCAACCAAGCCTAATTCTAACCCTTTCCCCTAAACAAAGCAGGCAAATAATTATCCACCAAAGCACAGCTCGCAGCTGCATCAAAGAATCCCTCCGCATCATAAACAACAAGTTAAAGACATCCCACTTCAATTATCATCCCACTTCAATTATCCCACCACCCATCTCCGCCACTATACTAACAAGCTCTAGCTCGGCAAAATACTCCTTTGTTCCAAAGATAAAAGTATCTAGTTCAGGCTTGTCTGTGTACCCTATTTTCAGTTGCTCCCACCGTAGAGTTCATAAGCCAATGATAAGCCCTGTGCATTAGTTATATAATCAATAAAATTATTTGGAATAGATTCATATCATTTAATTAAAAAAACACAAAATGTTGAAATCTCTCCGAATGATAAGTTAGACTCTTTGACTGCTTTGAGAAGATTAAGATCTCCCTTTGTCAGTGCAATTTTATGATTTCAAAACTTATAAACTAGGTTTTTGAGGTGACCACACACAAACAGGAAATGAGAAAGCTTCTTTCCTTTTAGAGTGTACTCTCAGTAACATACCGCAGTGAAATCAAAGAATAAAAGCATTAGTGCAAATGGAATGAAAAAAAAAATCTTGATTCGCAAAAGATGCTTAATGAATATGCCAAATGATTCTAGAATTTTGAAGGAGTAACCAATTAAAATAAGATAAACTTGTTTAACAATGAATTTAATCAATGGGTTCAGAATTTGTGAGTGTTGTGTTGCGAAATAAAAAGGATAAAATATTTCATCTACATGGAATGGATAGAATCACCCAAAAGGAAACGGATAAATCATAGACTGTGGTAAATGTGATGTTCTAATGGTCCAGTGCCAGTCTGGCAAAGTCTATATAGACGTGCAGAAGATTTGGTTCCAGTAAGTCAACCAATGGCAGGGGCGTAGGAAAACATGAATGCTAAGATTAAACTTCTTAATACGTTATATAACCAAGTTTCAGTAGCTAATCCTGCTTGCCAAAATTTGGGATCAATAGCAAACATGACAATGTTAAATCTTGATGTTCAATTTCAATTAAATGAATGAGCAATCTTTCGTGATTATTAATAGATAAATTATTTTATAATGGGATATACCATTCCCTGAAAAAATATATATATATTGTACATGAATTTTACTGCAATCAACATAAGTTGGTGAGTTTTAGTCCGACCAAGATATTTAGTATTAACTTCAATCTTATTTTCAATATCATGTGGGCTCCGAAAATTCGCACCCCGGCCTCTCTGCGGACCCCTTTCTTTTTCTTTTTTTTTTTCTTTTCGAGTCGTCATGGAGAGTTTTAAGGCTTACATTCCGAGGCAAATTTTCAGAAGGCAGATTGGCTTTTAAATAAAACATTACCCAGAGTTTTCGCACTCATTTTGTGAGAACTTTGATTCGAGTTCAGGTTTAGCGTAGGCGCAAGCCCCTATAGTTAATTACCCCCCTCGGTAGCGAGAGAGAACTTTCGATTAAGGCTAGTCCTCAGACAAATAAATAGGATACATAGTATCTAATGTATCATAGCAGCATGATTTGGTGTCTAAAAAATTGATATTATCTTTGACGAATGACGACATTCAATTTCTTGCGCGAGTAAGAACTTATTTCATCGGTTCGGTGCAATCAAAGGCAAAAGAGAGTTTGTGTGTGATTTTTTGCTCAACAAATTCCAAAGAGAAGAGAAGAAGAGTTCTTGTATTTTACAAGAAGTAGAGAGAGAGAGAGAGAGTTCAGCAAAGTCGGGGGAGAGTTGCATGTATTTTCATAGTTTTTATATGCAAAGACAAAGGCGACACTGTGCGATCTTGGTGGATGCTACTCGAATAAGAAGATGAAGATGAGTTCATGTATGGATTTCATCCACATTCAGCAAAGTCAGAGACAGAGAAAAAAGAGGAAGTTGCTACTGTGTTCTGCAAGGAGGAAGAAGATAGATTTTGTGTGCACGACTTCGACTGGAGAAGACAGAGAGGAAATTATGCAATTGAAGTGGTTGCATTGATTGAGATGAACAAGGGTAGGGCAGGGCTCATTCCAAGTAATCGAAAAAGGAAGTTAAGGCATAGTTCGTTCGACTTATTCAGAGACAGAGAAAAACGAGAGGTTCGTGTTAGACTGGCTGTTAATCGAAAAAAAAGAAAAAATGAAGCAACTAGTCATGTGACCTCTTTTATTGTTCAATAGAGTCCGAGATAGAAAAGAAGACATAGGGTAAGAAAACCTATTTGAGGAGTTACGATAGAGTTTATTTAATCAACTTGAACAATTGTATTCGACGGGGAAGAAGAAGAAAATGTATCGATTTATGCGATCTCGACTCAACGAAGAGGAAGAACAAGTAAAGGCATCAAAGGAATTTATTTTAACATAATTTCATTTTTTTATAATATAATAAAAAATGCAATTAAAAATATGATTTAATAATTTAATCTCCTTTGATATTATCTTTGTCTCTTTGACAACATTCGATCCATTCAACATTGTTTTTTATGATATTTAATGTGTTTGTTGTTGCCCTTGACAATGTTCGACACCTCTGGCATTATTTTTTATAATGGTTAATACTATTAATATTGTTTTAAGCAACTCCAGAACTTGGCACTATAGTTGACGCACAACATTGAAACCAAACAAGTGTATTCTCAAAAGATTTAGTTGCAATTTAATAGGAAAATTTAACGTGGATATATTTCTAAACTAGTTATACAAATTGGTGCAATGATATACCTAATTGGGTAGGTTGTGCAATAAGAAAGCACAATCAAGAACTTAAAAAAACATTGAAGTGGAAGATTAGATCTTCAAAAAGAAAGTGAGGTGGGTGAGTACATTTTTATTTTATAGCAATTGTAATTCTATTATTGATTCAATGCATTTATTGATATGATATTTGGTATGTATAATTGCTAAATTTATTAACAATGTATTACATTAAAAAGATGATTAAATGACCTGTGTTAGAATATAATGTAAAATGTGATAATGGCACATTGAGATTCATATATAACAACAACATCAATACTTTATCCCACTACGTAAGGTCAGCAAAATGAATCATTTTTCTTCATTGTGTCATATCAAGAATTAAATACTCATTTAAATCTAATAGATAAAGATTATTTCTAATATTTTTAACCAAGTCGTTTTAGGTATATCTCAATCTTTCTTGACATAAGCCAAATCTAATACATCTACTTTCTTAATCGGGTAATCAGAAGGCAACCGTTTTATGTGACCAAACCATCTAAGACGACTCTCTCTAATCTAATCTGCCATTGGACCTACTCCAACCTTTTCACTTATTTGTTCGTTTTGTATCTTTTCTCTAAGAGTAAAGCCACTCATTCACTTGAGCATCCTCATCTCTGCAACACTTAATTTAATATTATGCTTCTCTTTAAATGGCCAACATTCTACGCCATAAAGCATTGCAAGTCTCACCACCATCTTATAGGATTTTCCCTTAAATTTGAGGGGTAATTTTCTATCACACAACAAGCCCAATACATTCCTTCACTTCAACCATTCAACTTAAACTCTACTAGTAATATCTTCATCTATTTCATCATCACACTAAACAATAGACCTAAGATCTCCGTATTTGTATGCATATTGAGATATATATATAATATCTTCATCTATTTCATCATCACACTAAACAATAGACCTAAGATCTCCATATTTGTATGCATATTGAGATTCATATATATATATAATAGAAAGAATAAATCATAATATTGAAAGAATAAAAATATATATGCATGCAAATATACCCCCATAGGGTACTGGCTACAAAAACAATTTATTCATGCATGAAAACTGAAAAAGGCTTAAAATAAAAATAGATGTACCTTCATTAATACAAAAATTTAGAAGTTGCTTCTAAAATAAATGACTAAATAAAAGTTAAAAGTCGACAATTAAAATATTAAAGAATATTCATGTAAAATAATGATTATCACTACTTTCATTTATGTTTGTTTTAAATATGAAAAGTTAACATAACTAATTGCATGCATAGTTCTTTATTATTGCAATATTCTTGAATTGTAATCAACAACTAAGTTTGATGATGAAAACTCAACCCAATTGAATTAAAATATTTCAAAGTAATTCTCCAATTGAGTAAATAGTTGATCGAGAAGCCTTTCTGTATAAAAGAACAGGTTCAAATGAAAGTATATATGACTTGTACTGTACATATTCAACTAGACATTGATGATTAGTGACTTTTTCCAAGGTTTTGAATGTTAGTTTATTTGATTGTTTAGATTACTGCCGACTATTGTTCGCTATTTAATATTCTTAGTATTCGGGCCAGGTTGTGATAATATTCACCTTTTTGCTTCTCTTTTTTTTTTTTGTTCGCTATTTAATATTCTTAGTATTCGGGCCAGGTTGTGATAATATTCACCTTTTTGCTTTTTTTTTTTTTTGGCTACTAGATACTCTAATTGATTGAGAATCATATTATATAAATCAGAAAATGCAATCGATCCACTTATTAACGGATAGCATTGGGCTTAATCAGTCAAATCTTCTAAGTAGTTTAGATGATTTATAGCCAGAAGAAAAAAGACCAAAAAGGAGAAGAGGAAAATAACGCTAGGAAAGAGAATTCGAGGAGAGAATTTTCTCATAGTTCTTCTGCGTATCCTTGCAGCTATTCTTGAGGCCAACATCATCAAGGGCATACCAATGCACGAGGCTTCCTACAGTACAAGGTCTAGAAGATGATGTATGTACTAATATTTGAATTACAAAGAGGATATTTTAGCGATTTGAACCAATGGCCTTCATATTAGCATCATGAAATCATCAAAAGGGTTTAACTAATGCATTAGGTTCCCTCCAATAGAAAGTCTAGGGGGCTTGGTATGTAAAACCATACCCCTCATAGAAGAGAGGTTGTTTTCATAGCATCATGAAATCATTATTTCAGATTTTTTTTTTTTAAATCATAATGTCAGCTTAATAAATTTAACAAATAATTATAAGCTCCAAGGAATTAGGTAAATAGAGTAATGATCTAAGCAATTTACCTCAACTATGGAATCTTTCAACTTCTCATAAACAGATCCTTCTAATGTTCTCTCAGCAAGCTCGTAAATGAAAACATTTCCTTCAGGGCCATTAGTTTTCTCTTTCTGAAGATATCTACAAACAAATCATGGTAAAACGGAGAAATGGAGATCTGGAATGATATCGAGCAAAAGAGATCTACGTCAAATTTTAGTTGTAGCAAGGTAAAGGACTACCTCTGTTGAACAAGCAGCTCCAATGTTTGCTTGGAGTTCCCAAAGAGTGGATGGTTCTCATCACTCTCACTAAATCCCATCCGCCTTAAATGATGCCATAGATTTTCTGTGTCGAATACAGGATTAGACCAAAAAAGGGCTTATACTGAGCAAGCAACAAGCAATGTAAGATTTACCACCTTCAGGGATTTTACCACCAGCGAGATGAACGATGCTGATCACTACAAACGTGAACCCAGAAATATGAGATGCCCCCTTGTCTTCAACATATTTTTTGTAGATACCAGAAGGTAATTTGCTCTCAAGTATATAAGATTTTGTGTCAACAACACCTGAAAATATTTTATCTTCTTAACAAATTACTCCAACAATTTTTAACGACTTAACACTAGGCCTGCAAGAGATTAACTGGAAGTGATATCCAGTGATAGCATTGTTTAGGTGATTATTAGTAGTTAATTATTCTGGAATACAACAGAGATTGCATTGATTCAATCAAATTGCTATAATACCTTTAGCCCATTGAAACCATCCATCCAAAACATGTTTTAAGTAAGAATTAGCAAACTTTTATTTAAGAAGAATAGTTAAATCAGTAAAGATATCTCACTCTGCTGAGAAGCACGTCTGTTAGAGGAAGCACGAGTACGCTGAAGCTCCTTCATCTCATAGCCAAAGATGATAGAAAGCTTTTCTCTAGCCTCATTGATGATAATTGTAGGAAGAGACCTTTGGTGATAGCTTTTAGTAATCAATTGGGTCAGTTCTTCCCTCTTTATGGGGCATCCATTGCCATGGTGAGTTCTAAAAAGAACATAACGGATAACTTCTGCTACCAGTTTGTCTTTCTCCTTTTACAGTATGAGAGGTAGAACAAATTATTTAACAGAACTTGCAGAGGAAAATGGGACGGGGACTAGTTAAGGAAAAAAACCTCTTTAGAAACGTTAATTTGTGATAAATCTTCATAACTTGCCATTCTGTAACAGTTCAGCATAAACATATATTAGAAGAGATCCAAGAAAGGAACTAAAATATAGAGCAATTTCAGCATAAACGTTAATTCTGTAACAGTTCAGCATAATACTTCTGTAACACATTGACTTTCTTACCAATATGTCATGCACTCATTCACACTCTCCTTATATTTATTTTTCTTTATATCTTACTTTAATTTTTTGGCCTTAGCAGGGTGCCGCTGAATTTAAATTATGAAGTGGCACTGCTCGTTGAAAATAAGGTTTTAATCATTTTCTCTTCTTACTTCCCTTACAAGAGGCATGACTAGAGAAACTCTGACCTGATTAAAATAGATAATTATTTTAATCATAAATTTGTACAATAAGAATTTTTCATGCTTGAGATTAATGGATGTCTTGTTATTAGAATGTAATTTGAAGAAGTATTATAGCTATTTTAGGAAGGAAAGCATAAACTCTTTTTTTCCCTATTTTCATTCTCTTTGAAGGTAGTGGTTAACGGCATAAACTTTGGGTGATTTTAGATAATTAGGGTACATAGCAAAAAGTTTGCATGTGAAGAGGGTGTCGGGCCGAGGTAAAGAGTGGGCGAGAGGGGAGTCAGGTTGGAGGAGGTTGGAGGCCTGGGGGATGAGGGCCTGGTTGAGAAAGGGGTGGGCTGGTGTAAGTTTCAGCGGCTGTATGAGGAGGCAATGGGGAAGAGTAGAGCAGACGAATGAAAGAGGAACGACAACGACCGGAAGAGGGCACAAAATGGTTTACCTTGAATTCGGAGATTGGTATTGAGGGAAGAAGGTGAACAGCAGCCGGCTCTTAGGAGAAAGCAGGGGCGGAACCAGCTTCAATTTTGAGGGGGGGCAAATACAGCACAAAAAATAATTAAATATTTTAAAAAATAATATTATATATTTATATATTACGAAAAGTTTTTTTAAAACTGCCACGACCAGCGACGAATTACAAGAGGCTGCAGGAATTGCATGTGTGTGTATATATATATATATATATATACATTCCATCATTAAATTCTTAATTTTAGAAAAAACCAAAAAAAAAATTGAATTTTTTTAATTAAAATATTTAGATGAAATTTTAAAAATGGAGATAGGAATATATTAATTTTAAAAATAGCTACATTTTGAGTGTGATGCATAGAATTGCTTCAAATCTTATCTCTTTCTATATAAAGTATTCTAAAGTAAATGAAAAAAAAGTAAAAGACTAAGAAATTTATATATTATATGTATGATTGTATAATAAATGTCATTAAAGAATTAACATACATCAATATTTTAAAGTCATCTCAATAAAAATTAGTTATCTTAACATGACATAATTTTTTTCCAAAACTCTTTTTAGATTAGTTGGTTAAGAAAGTAGAGCTATTAGATTTGATTTATGTTAAGAAAGGTAGAGGTAAATCTAAAAAGACTTGGTTAGAAAATATTAGAAATGATCTTTCTTTATTAAATTTAAAAAAGAATTTGACTTTTAACAGCACACAATGGAGAAAAAGGATTCATGTAGCCGACCCCATGTAGTGGGATAAAGGCTTCATGTTGTTATTGTTTTTGTTGTTGTCATTTCAGATTAGCTCAATCCAGTTAGATTAAGGTTCTACTAAAGTTTATGAAGTTCTTAAGATTCAGGTGTTCTAATATTTGATAATAATAAAATTTATTTGATGTCATTTTATAATTTATGAAATATTTATTTTTGAAGTCGGACAATTTAACAACCAACTATATATAAGGTGGCAATTTTCATTAATTTTGTGGATGTTAAACTATTTGGTAATAAGCTAATGAGTCAATCCTTTAAGATTCAAGTGGGTACATAATGTTTCAATACATTGATATAACTTAGTGTGTTGTGTCATTATAGCTCATTATAAAAGATTTGAGTTTGTTGATATTAAAGAGTGGATTTGATAATCTCCATGTCCTCAAAACGAGAGTCTAGTTGGCTTTTAAGAATTATTTGGGATATGAGGCCTGCTCTTCGTTTCGAATAAGAAATCAAACACAATCAACAGCTGCAGTTAACATGATGCGATATTCTTTTTTTTTGCTTCTCTTCCTTGCTCGACCATAAAGCGGGAATACTCTACTCTTGAAGCTTCATTAACAACTCACATTTATGTTTTGCCTTGTTGTGTGCACTGTTATGTTCTCCGACATGACCCAGAAGCTTCTCTTTTCTTTTCCAATTCTTAAATCCCTCTCCAATAAATGCGTCTCCATCGCCTTGGCCAGTACTAACTTGCTCTTGAGGCTTGAATAAGTAGCAACAAAGACAATAAATAGCATCTTTTTGTTTATTGTATTAAATTCAATCGGGAAATTCTTCAAACAATTTTGAGTTAAACCTACGTGCAATATTTCCTATAATTATTTGAGGGAAATGATGATTTTTAGGTTGATGCGGTCCCTTCAAAAGATAAGCTCTACGAATTTTATCACACTCAGTCACATCATAACTCCATATTGATGGTCGAAGACCAGGGTCAGCAGGGAGATTATTAATATCAATCTCGACAAGTTCTTTCTGCTTCAAGAATTGTTCCATTTCTCAAAAGCCTTGCAATTATCTTAGCAAAACAAAACACTAAAATTACCTCCTAATCCAAAGAATGAAATGTAAGAAAACAAATTCATTAAAAAGAATGAATGTAAGACAGAAGCAACCAACAAAAACACAATTTCTACCAAATCTTTTAGGTAGTACTTGTAGTTTGGTAAAAGTGCCCACCCCATTAATCTTTTACGATTTTTTCTATCTCTCTCTTCTTGCCAACTTTTCACTGAGATAATGTTCTCAATTAAGCTGGGTCTATCACTGATCATCAACAAAACTACAGCCAAAATTCCACATTTGGTGATTTTAACAAAAGTCAAGTGGGTGAGCAGCCCAATGTCGCGCCAGAGATGGCGAAAGCCAGAAGGATGCGCCACCCTTGCTGGATGTAATTGAGGGCAGCAGCTAGCCATCCAAAGCCAGAGAGAAGAAACTACCATAAGAATAGCAGTTTATCCCCTAAACTCCATCCACACAGAGAGAAGAAATTACCATATCCCCAATCAAGAGAAGGCTGTTCCGGTTTATGGCCACCATGCAGTGAGCAGCCTAACTTACAAAAACACAAATTCTACCAAATCTTGCTTGAAGTTTGGTATTGCAAAATTCAGGTTTAGGGTCATGCAAAAGAAAGAGCTACCAAAAATCAAACTGCAAGTACTACCAAAAATTTTTCAATATGCATATAAGGAAACAAGGAGAAGCATCAGCCATCAAGCAAAAGAAAAGAGCAAGTGGAGTAGTAGGTAGACGTCAAAACAAGTAAATATTACCTTCAATGAAGCCGAATGCGGAAGGGGGCTGCTGGCCGCGAACCAAGAAGGCGAGCTCTTGCGATTTGTGAAAGCCAAGGCCGGCGACCTCTTAGGATTTGCGAAGGGAACGCCGCCGACCTCTTGCAATTTGGGAAGGGCCTGATCTTGCGAGTTCGTCGGAACAAGAGATGGAGAGAATCGCAAGTGCGATTCTGCGAACAGAGAGTCCAGACGTCGAGATGGGCGAAACTGGGGCGGATGGGCGGGATTAATAAATTTAGGGGAAAAAAAGTGTCTTAAGGGGGGCAAAATTCCGAAAAAGCCCCACTTAATGATTTTTTTTTTCAGGGTGCGCATTTGCCGGTGGATCCGCCTGTGGGAGCTTTTATTCTGTGCGGATACCCTACATTAGAACCGTCCGGTCAAGTCCTCGGTATCAAACGGTATCGAGAGCAGATACCAAGCTTGATATTGAGTGCGGTATATTTTTAGAGTGATTTGGAGTATTTTATTGGTCTCCGAACAAATTCTGGACTCCACAAAAAATAATAAATCCATCTGTGGAGACTTTACGTAAATCAAATGTATTGCATCCATATAATTTTATGTTATTCTACTTCATGTTTTTGTATGCAAAGATGTCTACTATGAATGTTACTATCATATTAAATATGTTATAAATATTATTACATTTTATATTGTGATGTCTGGTATAAAATATTTAGGATTGCTTGGACACTATTTTTGTATAATGTAAATGATATTTATGTATTATGGAGGTGATCATTGTGATTTTGTGAATGTAATTGTATTTATTATTGTTGTTGTTGATGCTGCTAATATTATTGTTATTATTATATATTCTATGAGATAATGTGAGTTTGATTCTCATAAGAGTTGAATATTGAAAATAATGAGTAAGAATAATTATTTGGATACTAGAGATCGGACATTAATAGATTTTTAGGTAGCACACATGACACATTTTTACTAGTGTAAGAGGGAAACAAATCACCCAAGACATTTTTTGGCTGTGTAAAAAGAAAAATATAGGGTCAAGTTATTATTGATCAAAACATAGTCAGTACAAGTCTCAAAATTATTGTATTTATTTTGAAATATGTGAAATATATAATTATTGATATTACACTAACCTCAAAGACTTTAAGATTCATTTTAATTATTTTTTTGCCATGATATCCTGAAACAATTTTTTTCCTGCATAGGATGCTTCACTAAAGAACTAATGACTCTTACCTTACCACCTATAATACCCGATCAGATTCAACCCGCCTGCAATATCCTTCAGCTTCCAAGGAAAAAAAGGCTCTAACAATTCAATGAGAATAGATGAGCTTTGCTAGGCAAAAAATAGGGATGAATTATTTTATGTGCAAATAAGGCGGAAAGAATCATTCGGTAGAGAATAGTTCATGTTGCGCTTTTATTGTTCACAGAAACTGAACGGTTCTTTCCGTGTGTCCGCACAAAATAATTTCTAAAAAATAGGACTAATCAGAACACACACTTTTAAATAAGTTTTACACCGGCTTAGTTATTATTATTACATTTTTAACGGCCCTGCCTACACCTCAATTTCTCAAATTATATGTCAATGTTAGAAGTAAATACACGAAAATAAAGAAAATTATATGCTAATACTTTTTTGGAGGTACTCATCTTATTCAGGCTTCTTGGCTGGGATATGATCAAGTAAACATCATATGAAATTGGTCTAAAATGTAAAAAATAAGACCAATAACTAATTTTTCTATGTTAAAGATCGCTCGCTCATGCACTTAAGCGCTTCAAGGAAATCCCAACGCCCAGTCGCCCACACGACCGGCCAAACATTCCCCAGAGGCATCATCACCATCGTAAATCAAAATTCAACCTTTTGCACAGAACCGCACTTGCACTTGATAGTGATCTTAACACTTCCACCTCCCCAGATCTTCACCTTCCTCTTGTCGTTCTTGCCGTTGTATGTTTCCACCTGCCAAAAAGATCGCAGAAAAAATAAAAAAAACAAAAATCAATTCGATTTGATTTTCACCAAGCTCGAGCCGCTCTCACTAAGAAAATCATTAGAGAGCTGCCATTAAATGTTAAACAAGAAAAGGATAAACAGGGATGAGAGAGAACCATGCCTTCTCCTCCTCTTTCTTATCTGGCTCGGGAGTAGCTTTCAAGGTAATTGGAAACGACGTGGCCGGTCGCAAAACAAGGGAAGACATTGCAGGCGAATGACCGGCGGAGGCGTTAAGGCGGGGATCCTCCCGTACGGCTGCGACGCAGGAATGTGACGGTAGGGATGAAGAGCGGGCAAACTTTGCGGGACGAGGAATGGCGTCACCCGTGAACGACACTGGGCAAGATTTCAATCGGTCCAGCACCTGTCGCCGCCGCTTATGGCCGCAGCACGGACACGAGTCTTTCAACTCTACCATATCTGCTCTCTTCTTGCTCCCTTTGGAAATCAGAAATGGGATTCTTTTGGAATACGGGAGCTAGGGTCTTTAGCTCCTGAAAGAAGGGGGTTTCAGGGTAGTTGGAGAAAGCGGGAAGTTGCGAGTCATATAGGCGTGATCATATAATGGTGTAACGCTGCATTTGTAATTCTGCAAATGTATCTCTTCATGATCTTTTTTATTATTATTATTATTTTTTTTTTATACCTCTTCATGATCATGAATCTAGTAGTCATCTAGCTAATCATAATTGTATTTGATTAAGCTTGTAAACAAATTTTTAATTTCAATCATTTGCACACCCAACTCTTCTTTAATCTCTTCTGTCATAACCTGGGATGATATAATCAACATTCTATAAATATTAATCTTCATTGGTGTGTTTGATGGTTTCAACATAATGGTTATAGATTCCAAGAGGATGCTCAAATATATCTAAGAGGAGTGAGCAAAATACCAAAGGCTATTTTGCTTGAAAGAATTCTAAGATTTGAGTTGTTTGTTCAAATGCATCCATTAGTAGTGGCACAATATTGGATTATTCATATACAACACACAACACATCGAATAGATGTGACACAAATATAATTTGTCAACTTTGGCAAGCCATTCATATGAATTATCCCCATTGCAACTAGGATAATCTATAATGATTCTTGAAGGGCTGCCTAATTTATATTCCATCATTTATTTATGATGCAAATTTGTTTTCTATTTATTTCAAACATCTTGACGTCATTCAACATCAATGTGATTGAAGAAATTTGTTCATCAAATTTGCCAAGATAATCCTTAATCAAATAAATGTCACCCTCCATTAAAAATGTATATTGATTTAAAAAAGAACATGCCTTTGTTGGTTTCTTGAAGATGAAAGAGAGTTGGATGCATATCAAGACTTAAGTAGCAGACATAAGTGATTGGAATGACAAAAGGATCACAAATATTTTTGGATTATCAAACAACTTTATTGGCAAAGAGTTTATTCTGAAAAATACAATGATACCAAGTGTGGGAGCAACGTTGTCTCAATAGATGCCTAGTGTAGATAGAGTTGGGTGGTTGTGGTTCTTAAAATATACATTCACAGTTTGACAAAATCCTTTACCATAATTCTTTCCATCAACATAGAGAAATTTTGAATTATGGGCATTTAATATGAACATGATCACCATTGAGGCAAGAGTTCTTGGAGGCAAAAGTTTCTTGGTTGTAGAGTTATTGGTGAATTGTATAAACTGAAAAGATGAGGTGGCAGACGATCTGGAAGGAAGATGGCATGGATTAAGCTGGCTAGTTGTCATTTTTCCAAAAACACCACACAAGCCAGAATTTCTTACTGGTTTAATATGACTGCTTGGACATGTATAAGGCATTGATTTACTATTACTGATTCATTGTTATTGATTTATTGTTATTTAGCATATGATTAAGATATTGATTTGAGTTTGATACAAAACAATTGAACATCATGTATACTCTTATAAGATTCTTTGATAGTACTGCATTGTCACAAATTTTTAATAGTTTTCATAAATACTTCCGCTTTACTAATTCATATGATTTTTTTTACTGTTTTGATAATATCGCTATGACGATGTTTTAAAGAATGGTGATTTACATCCTTACCATTTTGACATATGTACTGTAATATTTCATCGGCTTTACTGTTACCACATGTGTTTTACTGTTTCTGCACAGATTCATTATCATATTGATTGCTACCATTTAAACTGAATAATTTCATGCATATTATTATTTTTTATGTGCTTTGAGTTAAGTAGTAGGGTTGTCACGCTCTGGGATCTATATTGGAAGATTTGCATCTGCCTTTTATTTTAACATTTCTTACCAATTTCTAATGAACAACGAAAAGAATTATACATTTTGTCTGGAGCCTCATATTATAGGATCCTTACCTTTACGTGTAATAATGTAAAACTACATAATGAGCACATAACCCAACAACTAACCAAAATCTTATAGCATAAATTAATGCAATGTAAAATATAACAATATGTTGTAAATCATATAAAGAAATATATGCATGCATTAATGTATATATACCCGTTAAATGTATTAATAATTAGTCTATAACATATCATATATCAATTAGTTATATATATTTTCAGTCGATTTTTATCACTCAATCAATTTCATTCAATATTATCATCCCATTTAACTCATATCAATCTGTCAGTTACAGACACAATATCAATAACAATATTGGATATCAGTAACAAAATAATAATAATAATAATATCCTCAGTGTCAATCATTATAATAATAATAATAAACAATAATAGTAATCAGTGGTTAGTGTCCATATTATTAATATCCGTACAATATGAGTATAAACAAAATATTCATATACTCATAAGAGGGTATATTGCTACTGCATTTATAACTCTCAATCAATCACCCCTTATAACTCCCAATCAGTGTGTTATCCCCTTGAATCACATGAATCAATTGCTCGACTCCTTATAACTTCATTCAATCTCTAGCTCCTTATGACTCCCATTCCACATTCCATCCATTGACTCCCATAAATGGACCACGCGAATCTTCATGGTATCACATTAGGTTATCATATAATATATATAATATCAATCATTACATCATATTCATGCATCATATCAGATTTAGACTAGTAGCAAACATTCTTGCATAACTCAATCATATCAATCATTTCAGTACATATTACTATGCAATCTTATCACGTCAAATCACAATATAACAATTTTTCAACATATTTTCAATCTTTCTTTTTCCCTACTCATTTTATCCAAAAATTCTTATACATATATTTAATTAGTAAAAAAACAATTAAATCATATCATATTATTCATAATGATCAAATTTCTAAATATCAAAAGTTATACGATGAAAACTTATAAAATAATGATATAATGTATTTTTGATAGATTTAGGTGAGATGAATTTGTAGAAATCAAAATCATTGAAAATAGAAGTAAGAGTATAGTTACTTATAATGAATTGAACGAAATATGTATGAAAAATGCTAGGCAATTAAATATGACCCAAAGATATATCTCTCCTTTCTCTTTTTCTCCTCCTTCAAATTCTTCGTGACCATGCAACAAAATGAGGGAAACAGTTGGGTGAGACATGGATATTTATAATAAAAAAAATATAAAAATACAGTATAAGTGGCCTAGCACCACAACACTACTTCTAAATTTTTATATTTTTTAAATAAATTATTTTACACTTTTGGATTATTACACTAGTGATCTGTCTGATTTAATAAGCTGAAAAGATATGGTTTAATGATTTGAGGTCATGGAAGAGGTTTGTAAGTGTGAAGCTGATCAGATACATGGTTCTTCTAGTTTCATTGTCATTTTATCTTTTAGTTATTCTTTTGAGCTCAAAAGTGGGCATACAATATATTGTATTTGTATAATTTATGATTAATGTTTATGATTTTTGGGCAATGAACTTAGATGTATATTAATATTTTGATCAATATATTTATTTATGCTGATATTTAATTATTGAAAGAAATTAGATAGCTATAGTTACCATTATAAAAAAGATAAAATATACAAATTTTTTCAAATTATATTCGGAGGCGTGACAGTCAATGTGATCGAGAATAAATGAAGATGGAGATCCTAGACATTGGGTTAGCTAAGTTAGGATTGAAGCGTCAGATGGTTACACTATAGATTTTTTTGTGCGAGAATTGGAGCACCTGAGCCAGTGATGAGGATCAACAAACGCACCAATTGATACAACCCAAAGCATTAGAGGGATAAGCAATTATCATGTTTGCTGAATACTCCATAAAATGCAAGGTTGAGAAGGGAGATGAGGTGGATTCTAAGAGCGCAGAGGTTTGTTAATTTCACCTTGATTCCCTAAGACTCTCAAATAAAAGTTTCGACGGCATGACGAAGAATTTTAGGGCATATTATCTATCTATCAAGCACTTCATTCCCATCTTTTTACCATTAAGTATATAGACCTGCTCTAACCTACTAACTAAATCTAACCATATTAATACTTATTAACCTTATCAATTAGTGAATATTTAAATATTTTAATGCATGCTGATGTGATTAACATAAATAAAAACATATTATATGTATAAATATAAATTTATTTAGGGAGAACCTATTACTCATTATAAATTGCTCTAAAAATTGCATTTTCTCTCTTAATTTGTTATACCATATCATATTTGACACAAAATATATGCCAGTTATGTTGATTCTGAGTGGAAAGAATGTCGAATAAGATAAGCTCAAATCCTGCTGAAACTGTACTACACATTAGAAGAATTCAAGTCAAATTTTAAATCTCCCATATTCATCTTGATCCAACGATGAGTTAACCAGTCCATGAATTTTCTCCTCAATTTCTTGTCTGGTCGATTATAGAATGATTTTGATTAGATTGGAATGGCAGACCAAGGCCTGACCCACATGTGCCTCCAGCCCTCCACCAATAGTCTTTACCAATGCCAAAAATACCATTGTTTATTGTACACACGTAATACCAAATGCTCGTTTTGAATTACCCCAGCATTGAATATATCGCATTATGGGACTAAAAGAGAGTAAAACATTGGAAAAAATGCCCATCCCGAATTACTTATATTCAAACCTTTAGCGGCCATAGTTGGCCAGGCTACAAAGGTTTCGTTTGAGGTCTAACACCTTAAAAGCAGCTTTAACATCACTTGGTTAGATATTTGAAAAGAAAACGCAGACAATCATATCATCTCTAATACTCAATAATTAGTCAACATTTGTGGGAATATTCCGCTCTATCTACGCTATTCATCGAATTTTGTTTATGTTCATTGTCTGGGAGAATTATTACGCGCGGAATTTGGACGTAGAGTTATGTCCGAATTGTGAGTGTACGTAGCATGTGCATAATGTGTACATTGATAATTCGGACAAAAACTCTCAATTGTCTGACATTACCCTAATGATATAGCGTGATAACTCTTTCTATATATTATATTAGTTATTTCTTCATTCATCTCAAACTATCTTGATTTAGGTTTCATTTGGGGCAGCTTTTTTATTGCTTTATGAAGTAGCTTTCTAGCACAAAAATTTCGAGTCCAAAAAATTTTTGTACTATTTTTTTTTTTTGAAAGTAGTATAAAAGTTGTTCCAAACGATGCCTTGGTCTTTTTAAATTTGATTTTTGTTATTTTTTTAATGGCATGTAAATCATTGTCATGCCAAGCTAGATGGATGATCAAGGCTTTGCTTGTTCATCTTCATTCAATTATTTTATTGTTATTTTGATAGTAATGATCACTCTGGCATGCCGATGGGTATAATGTATTCAATTCCTTTACATTTTTCTATATGTAATATAAATTTTATCCTCATTTATAGTTAGCTTTTACTGTTTTTAAAATAGGGCGATTTACATACATACCACTTTATTTCATGTTATTTATATATCTAATATTTAAAATTTTAATATTACATTCCTATCACTCATATAAAATTTTAATATTATGGGTGGTAGGTATGTAAATATTAAAATTTTAGGTATTAGATATGTAAATAGCATAAAATAAAGCGGTATGTATGTAAACCCCCCTTTAAAATAATTAAAGGATGTTCATTGCTTTTTTTTTTCTTTACCCATCTATATTTTTTGTCTTACTCTTAACTTGGCATAAATTATCCTAAATTTGGATATTTAATTATAATCTTCGTGCTTTCAATTTGAATTTTTTGCAATTGAAAGTCCAAAAATGATTTTAAACAGGAGTTAATGAAAATTTAGTAAGAGCTTACAAAATGTGCTGGCTTGTGTGGTTTCATCTTGGGCTCCAAAAGATTCTTGAATATTTTTTCTTTTTTGTATGAATTTATCTATAAAATAAATTTTGTTTACCCTTGATACGTCATCACAAAATTAGCTTGATCGGGCACGAATCTCGAGGCAAAAGTTAGTTGGAAACCTCAAAAATTAAATCCGGGAGCACCTGAACTCCGATTTCAGCGAGCTTACAGTCAAACTGAGCGTCTCGGAAATACGAACCCAGCGACACCAAGATCAACCCAATCCGAGCCCAAATG